AATAAATACTTACAAAATAAATTGCAATTTTATATTATGAATTTGTTTAATTTAGAAAAGCTCATATTACTCATAAGAAATTTTGATTATTATTGTAAAGAACAAATACATACATATATAAACAAGGATAATGTTATATGAAAAAATTGCATAATTTTCACAACTGCTTCTTTTTAATGTTGCATGTTTGCAGTAGTGTATTATTATTTGAGTTTGCAAATATTTACTTATCCTATAAAGTGGTTTTATATTACTGCACAATGAATTTTGAAATATTAAATGCTTGCACAATAATGTCAACAACTATGCGTGGCATGTTACAATTTTAATTCAGTTTTTATTTGGAAATCGCTTTATGCAAAGAAAATAGAGATTTTCGATATCAGGTCTGCGTTCAGGACAAACAGCTTGCCAGGAAGTGGTTCCAGCAGTGCGAATAATAGCTTGGGTCGATCACTAAGAAATGACTTGTTGGTAGCTGCTGACAGTGTTACTAATGCCATGTCGACACTCGTGAGGGAATTAAATTCGGGTATGTTGAATTACAGATCTTAATTTAATTTGCATCAGAAATGAATGCAAAATATTTTTGTAGTTTAAAATGGCACAACAATTTGTATTTAGCTATTTTCTTTAATACAGGCCTTCAATAATAATTGTATATTTGGAATAGGTACAAAACATAGAAGTTTTTACTTTAACTTTAAGAAATTAGTATTTCATCAATGTAAAAATCTAATTATTATTTTATAAATGCATTAATCGCTACATATTTGCTAACAGAAGTTGAAAAATTACTATCAATGTATACATACAAGCCTACTTCTATTTTCTTTCTAACACTTTGAGTAATCAGTTTATTAAAGAAAAAAGTATGCATATAATGTATATAGGAATACATCTGAAACAAATGTTTTTTATATTTACTTTTTTAATAACATATTATTCATACATATTAGTGTAAGCAGGCATGTTTTGCAGTATTTTTATTCTATCACGTCATTAGATCTTTATGGCATGTAACAATGCATTCCCTCCCTTATATTTAGTGAACAAAATTTTACAAATTTTTCTGAAATTAAATCATGGGTACAAGATGAATTTTGATGTGCATACATAATTATATTATGCATATGCATAAAGGTAATATTTATTTTTTTGAACTTTTTTTAAAAAGATTGTTTACAAAATTAAATAGTCATATTAATTTTATAAGAATAAGATATGTATGATCCTTTATAAAATATAACAAGAAAGTTTGTTAATTTATCTTTGGTTACATTAACAATAATTTTTGAAGATGTATGTAATTATCAAAATAGTTTTATATCCTATTATTGTTTTCAACGTATCTATATATCTGCATTATTGGTTAACATTTACAGATGTAAATACATAATCTTCTCCCCCTTTCATACAGTTTGCTTGTGTAATTCTACTTTTGTTTTTCATTTAGTATAGATTTAGCAAAATTTAGCCTAGAAATAGCACAGACTACACTACACGTGAAACAGCAAGTGCTTTGTTTAAAAGAAATTTATAATTCACTTGACAATTATAAATGCTTTAAAGATGATTTCAATCATAATTGAATTTTTCAAATTCTCTATAACATCAACACCATTTTTAATGCCACATTCGTGATATATGTATATAAATCATAAACGTTTTACTCAAACAAAAGAATTAAAATATAGAAGAAAATTGATTCAATTTTTATTAATGTTTAAAGAAGTACCATTTATTGTTTGATCTAAAATATTATAAGTGGTACTAAAAAATAAGGATATTATAAAAATTATACTGTATCAAGGAACATTTAATTTAAATTTTAAAATGTAAATTTATGTAAAATACTTCATTTATATTCAAATTCCAAAGAACAAATGGATATTCCCATATACAAATGACACTTTAGACGTGTTGTGGAATGTGTGTGATGCACCCCTTGTGAATGTTTCCTGGTGCCTTGCAGACTCAGACCAGGAGGATCATTCTCACAACTCTGGACGAATTAACATCAGAAAACCGTTAGGTAAGAGTTTGTTACAATTTAAACACGTTATTACAATTCTTTCATACCTTCACAAGCATTTGCAAAATGTTACATCACTTGCTTCTTTTACATAAGTATAATCACTAACAATAGATAGTTATTACAACAGATATTTTGTTATTTCAGAAAGTAAATAACAAACACTAAATAATGAACATATTCTCAGGTATAATTTTCTAGTAATTAAAATTATATTCCTTAGTTTTCTTTAGTAGTAGTTAATGAACCATGCAACTTTTATTCAAATGTATTCGTAATGTATGTTCACATCTACAAACTTGTAAGCATATTTATGTTAGTTTAACACATTGTAAATAACAGACGTAGACAATTGACTTAAATACTTTAATTAAATAGATATACATATATATATAATGAATTTTGTAGCAGTCAGTATATTTTTTTTTACAAAATAGTACAGAAGAATTATTAAAATGTAACGAGTTTATCAGTAACAAATAAATTTGTCAGTTTCTTAAATATTTTGTTGTATATTTCATAACTTGCTTTGTTATCCTTAGATTTCGAGGCTGGTGAGGATGGAGATGATAGTAGTGGTGGTGGTAATTCATGGAGAGAAGAACTTCAGCGTCGTTATCAACAAGAAAATGATTTCTTGGCTGAATTACGTGCACGCAATGTTAACATGTCACAAACACCATCTGCTACACCATCCAGCGAACAAGAACAGGAAAGGGGAGAAAGAGAAGAAGCAGATGGAGAAAAGGAGGATGAAAATGAATCTAACTGGACAGAACCAGTGAAAAGATGGGTTAATCGATAAGTTTGTTGTATGACATCTTCATGTATTCTAATGGCTTAGAAACTGCTACTAAATGAAATGCAAATAAGTTATTATAGCTCCACTGGTTATTTATGATGGGAATATATCTGGGTGTTAGTGTGAAATATAATCAGTACGACATTAGAGTTTGGACAGTATTTAAAAATCTTACATTTTTAAAATGATACTTTTAATTTTAAAAGTTGTTAATTTAACAAACAAAAGTTATAGGATATGATCTTACATAAATTTTAACAATAATATTAAATTATTATTACTATCTTTAGAATGACTGTATTACTTATTTTAATATTCATTACTTATTTATAGCATTTGCAGAATTGTATTATTTGAAGGACTGTAATAGTCGTTTTCCTCAGTTCAATGTAGTATTTTAAATATTTATATAGTTTAATGAACATTGTGTCTTTCCTTCTTTTTTTTTTTTTAAAGATTTTTGTTTTTTTTTTACGATTGTAATTAAATAAATTAAATATAATACTGTAAGTAATTAAAATCAGAGGATATAACTTATGGTGTTTATGGGCCTAAAAATACTAGTTGATCTTTAAATCAGGCTAAATATGAAAACCAAACATTTTTTGTTTAAATATTTGTTAATCCAACAAAGAGAATATCACACGTATGCAGTTTTAACATAAAGGTTTGAAAAACATATTAAACTAAACGCTCAATAGTAAATAATATTTAGTCTACATTACGTAGATGATAAAATGAAATAAATTTTTGCACAAGTCTCTTTGACCAACTTTATACAGCAAGGTAAGTAAATATAATTAAAAAACTTTTTTAAATTCATAATAAAAGAATTGTTAATGGATGCTTAGTTACAGAATCTCGAATTTTTTTGTACATTCATACAAATCACATGCGACATTCAACACTAGTACTTGAAAATATTAAAAATTTTAAATGAATACAGTATTTTAAATATATCTCATTACATTAGATGCTTAACTGTAGTAATACAGAACATACTAAAACATCATAGAAATTTCTGTAACGTATCATCCTCTTTGTTAATAATATATACCTCGGAGCTAATGATTCATAAATAAAATTCTTTTATTGTATGATTTTTCTCTGTATTTATGAACAATTTTATTATTATAGACAATGTTACATAATATGTACACCATCATTATTATGAATTCAATGAAATTTATAGCACTCTAAATATTCATTACAATCTAATAACAAGTTCCTATTGTTACAAATTTTAAGTAGTTTAATATATAATCATATTATTTATAAAGTTTAAAAAAAATGACACGTTTATGACCCAATGGCTTTGAGGTATTATATTAAATTATAATAATAATAATGTACATAAATCTTATTGATAATAATCTATCAAGCATAAAATACTGGCATCTTTAGATAATGCTTAATGAAATGTATTGCTTAGGCATTTTAAACAGGCATATTCAATTTTTGTTTTGCCAACCTCACTAGTGTTAAAACAAATCACATTTAAATGCCTAAGTTTTACACAATAACTATAATCACATCACATATATGACTGTATCATTTATAATGTAAGAATTAGGACTGATTATGTTTTATGTAATATAAGTATTTAACCTTTAGTTCCTAGATTAAATGCTGTTTCAATAAATGGTTTAATTGTAATTAATATAAAACAGTACCTTTTGTAATATTTACATGTCATATGGTATTTAAAATGTTATGTGTATATATTTGTATGATTTCATAATCTTTTTTGTCTATACTGACACGAGAATTGTGTAGCAACTACATAAATACGAATATTAAATAAAAAAATGAAATAATAACGTGTAACGTAAAATAATAAAATTTTCCAAATTAACACATTCCAGTTTCATTTTAGAACAGCATACAAGAATTGTTATTTAACGTTTACACAAGTATTATTTAAATAATTTTAATTTTAATTAAAGTACAATTTTATATATACATGTGTGTGTATATTATTATTTGACAATAAACATTATATGTTATCAGATTAAAAAAAAAGAAACTCGAAACATTTGCAATTAAAAGTAAAAATTTATTGCGAATAATAATAATGAATAATTTTATAAATACCAATGGTAATAAATCCGAAATAAATTAGTTACAATTATTTGTAATAAATAAATTTGTTCACAGGAAAGAAAAATAACAACAAACGTGAATTGTATTTATTTTATTCTACAATTACATCTTTTGAAAAGTTGTTATTCACAAAGCAAAATATTCAAACATTAGTAATAATTGGTCAACGAAATATTGCTTTTCTGAGTGCAGTTGCAGAATTAATGCAATTACAAGAACTGTGGATTGTTGAATGTGGCATTAAGGTAACAATATAACTTGGATTTAACGAATGAGTTATTATAAAGTTATGTTTATTTAGGATATACCAGTTTTCAAAGAGAACTGTTTATTAAGAAAACTTTACTTATATTCTAATGAACTACCTTGTATACCAAATCTGAAAGCTTGCTCATATTTAACTACTTTGTTTTTATCGGGGAACAATATACGTGATCTTAAGGTATGATTTAGTTTTATTGGTTTCTTAATATGTGTATACGTTAAACAATTAACAGTTATTTTATTATGTGTACTTAATTTGAACAGAATATTGATAAGCTAATTTCACTACAAGAGCTTAATTTGGCTGACAATAAATTGGAAAGAATAGATCAAATTTCTTGGAAAAAATTTGAATTAAATTATTTGAATTTGGCAGGAAATCATTTATATAGTATAAGGGTATGTAATAATTGTATAAATTATATTTGTACAGTTTTACGAAATAATATTGCTTTTTTAATTACAAGGACATACAAAATTTGTCACAATTTCCAAAATTGAATTCATTAGTATTTGCTGATCCATTATATGGAGATTGTCCCCTAGTAACACTTTGCAATTATCGTGTACATGTTATTCATTATATTCCACGCATTAAAAGATTAGATCATTACAATATATGTGAGAGAGAAAAACACTATATTAATCATTTGTTCAAGTACTTATATCTGTCTTTTTACATATAGTATAGTTTTATGAGAAATAATCAGTAATCTTTTTTTAGGAAACAATTAACTTATTATAATGTATTATTTCATAAGCAGTTAAATAAACACTTAAGTTTACTAAAACACGAATATGAGAAATATGAAAAGGAAATGCTTTATTTAAAACATCAACTTTACATAAACAAAATAGATAGGGTATACAACCTTTTTACATAATTAGCTTTTATTTAATGCATCATTATATTCTATTATGTTAAATGTAATTGTTGTAATTATTTTAAATATTTTGCATTTTTCGTAAATATAATTTTTTATTGTACTTTCTCAAAATGTTACAAATTCGCAACAAAGGATTGATATAACTTTTGTTAATCACTCTTTATTTATTGCATAGGAGAATCAGGAAATGTATAATGAATTAGAGCATGTAATGCTGAAAGTCGAATTGCATAAAAATAAACTTATACAAATGAAAGAAATGACAAACATGCAACTTAGAGTATGTTTTCCACTGTTATTTTTGAATAATTATATATTACACATAATCTTTTTTGTTCATTTATTTATTAGATTTTACAACAACAATTGATAACTAATATGAAATACTGTGGAAATTTAAATTTTATTGAGTACAATGCATTTTCTGAAAACACAGTTACCCAATTATGCAAACAATTTTTGGAAGAATCATTATGTTCAATTATAAAAGAGTATAGAACATTATATTAATGAAGTATTATTTAAGTAACCAAATTTTATTGACTTTTCTTTATTTATAGTGGTATAGGTATAACAGGTTTAAAATTGCATAAAGTAATAAAAGTGTGTAATAAAGAAATTGATCAATTATACTTTTGGAAGAATAAGAGTTTACAGTCAAATGAGTGCAATACCATTCTAAAAATTTTAGTATCTCCTGGAGTAACAAATATCCAAAAATGGCCTTTTAATTTTTTTATAACTGACTTATTTATTAAAGTATCCTCATATCCTTTTTTCAAAAAATATAATTCTGTAACATGTACCATACAATATCTTTTAATTAATAGGACGAATTAATGGTAACCAATTGTTTGGCAGTAGCAGATTCTGATTGGTTAAATAAAATATTTTCATCTAAAAAAAATGGAAATGTATTAAATGTATACAATATTTGTGAAAAACGACGCATTTGCATACTTATACAGACACCAATTCTCAGTCCTAAAAAGTAATAATAATATCAGTTTTAATAATTTTCAAATGAAAAAATATAGTATCTCTATACAGAACAGATAATGCAAATGACCGTTTGCATACAAAGTATGCAAATTATCGGAATGATGCAAGTGAAATTTGTCAGATATTTAAATTAACAAATGCAAACATCAGAAATCCTATGTTTGTAATAGAATATGAATACGTATTACATGAATTAAGAAATGTAATAAAATTTATTATCACAACTTAACTATCAATAAAATTTTATAAATGAATTTATATATAGTAACAATTTTATAATTTATTTATAGGAAGACAAATATGAAAATTCTACTGTACCATGTACAATAAATGACATGCTATGTGAATGTTTGTGTAATTCTAACATTGTACAATATATTAACACCAATGAAACAGTGAAATTGCAAAATCTTGTAAAAATATGTATTTCTGGGCAAAAGATCAATTCAATTGATATGAATTTGAATTTACCTAATTTAAGAGAATTTGATATTTCATTTAATCGACTAAGTGAATTTCCAAATTCAAACTTTATGACGAATGTAAAAATATTGGACATTAGTTTTAACAATATACAAACATTACATATTAAACAAAATTTACCCATTTTACAAGAGTTAGACATCTCATGGAATTGTTTAAAAGATTGCTTTCAAAGCATCCAAGTTTTTACAGCGCTTATACCCAACATTCGTCAACTAAAGATATGTAACAATCCTTTTAAAGATATCATGGATCCAGAAGTAGCTGAATATTTAATATGCACATATATGCCAAAGTTACAATTTATTAATAATTTTAAATGTGAAGATCTTGATTTATCGAAATATTATTTTCCATGTTCTTTTGGTATGTGTAAACTGAGTAGTAAACGACATAATAAAGTAACTTATTTAAAGAAAAATGTAAGAGAACAAGCAAAAGCAATACAAAAGAAAACTGTTAATCAAGCCAAACATGTTCATGTATCAAAAGATTATACTACAGTATATAATATTTTACAAAAAGCATTAAATGTCCAAGAGCTTTGTGCTACTTGTTGTTTACTACTAACATTTCCTGTAATGAAATCTTTGAGACATTTAATTAAGTTAAATCTCGGAAATAATTTTATTTCTACCTTGAATGGCTTTACTCAAGAAAATTTTCCAGTGTTAAAATATCTAGATTTAACTAATAATTTAATAATGACTTTGGAACCAATGGGATCATTTTCTACATTACAAGAGTTTTATTGTGGAAATAACAGAATAGAAAATTTAACACAAATAGACAATATTAAGTCTTGGAAAATATTAAATGTCATTGATTTTTGCAACAATCCAATAAATGCAGATATGTTACATAAAATGTTTATTATCTTTCACTTAAGTAATATTGAAGTAAGTAAAAAATGTTAAGTTCTATTTCATTTTATATAAGTTCTGTGAGTTACTTTTTTTATTAGTATATTTCTGGAGAATATGTACAAGACTCAGATATTTCTGAAGCAAGATATATATTTGGCAATAAATTAGATAAATATGTGCTAAATGGAATATATAAAACTGATCGCTTATCCAATATTACACAACTGAGTTTAATTGATTGTTCTTTATCAAAGGTATACTATTCATTATAAAATTGTACAAATTACCTATTGTATAATTTTTATAACGTTTTAATAGGTGGACTTATCTGCTGAGTTTTTGCCATGTTTAGAAAGTTTAGATTTGAGTAAAAATCAGATAACTTGTTTATGGGGTCTTCATTCTTTTCAGTATTTGCATACTTTATGTTTAAGCTACAATTGTCTTGAAACATTTAATGGCACTGACTGCAAAAAAGACAATTATACATTTCCAAAGTTATATACTTTGTTTTTAGATCATAATTGCATCAAAACATTGATGAATATTACCAAACAAAAATTACCAGTAATTAAACATTTATTTTTAAACAATAATTATCTGCAAAATATCAATGGTAATGTTTCATAAACTAAGTAATATATTATTTATGTTTCAATTATTAATACATTTATATAAATATTCAGAAATAAATAATTGCTCTTCATTGGAGTCTTTGATTTTGGATCACAATGAAATTGAAATACTACACGTTAAAGACTTTATTGAGAATAATAATTTAAAGCTTCTGTCACTTGAAAATAATAAAATAAAATCATTAGAATTTACAAAACAATTGAAAAAGTTAGAGAAACTTTATGTTGCTCATAACTGTTTAACAGTAAGTAAGCAATAATACATATTATTTAAATGAATTCTTAATACATTATCTTATGTACCTCTTAGAATGACGCTGAAATACAGCATTTACTGTTACTGAAAAATTTAGAAGAAATAACATTTGAAGGAAATCCTTTATGTGTACAAATAAGTCAAGATAAAATTATTCAAAATTTTGAATTAAAGGAAGTTAAAGAAATTTAACTATGATGATGGTAATTTATAAATATTATTGTTTTCTCATGAAGTATGAAATAAACATAATGAAACACAATGTTGATATATTTTAAAAAGTATTATATACTTAAAATATAATACTTTCTCTCTTTTCTGGTTTTTAACCGACTTCGAAAAAGGAGGAGGTTGAATTGTTATTCAATTCGATGAGTATTTTTTTTTTTCTCTATGTATGTTCGCCGATTACGCCTAGCTGGATGGACCGATC